TCGGTTATATTTATTGAAATAATGTGGCGCTTGTGGAAAGAGGACGGTATTGACAGATCGAAGATCTATAGCTGTCTCTATACTATTTGATATATATTTTAACGATCAAATGTTCTTGTTTTCGCGTAAAAATAGTTATTCGTTTCAGTTTTAGATATTCTGAACTATGAGTGTTATATTTTTTAGTTTTAAATTAATGAATTAAAGATAACTTATTTGATGTTAGATTGCTATTATATTTTCATATGTATAATAAATAGTGCGTCTCTTCTCGACAAAACGAACCCTCGATCGTATCATGACGGCGACGCTTGGTTTCGATTACGCGCAGTGACACAACGGTATCATTGCTACAAAGCTCGTTCCCGTATCAACCCTTGTATGCCTTGTCGCAACGTCGTGTTCAACGCTATGCTGGACCGCGGTCCACATACGAGGGAGGCACGTTTGACTGTGTAATACGAGCTCCTCGTCCGTGACAAGCTCGAAATATGCAGATTCTCTCGACTAACGAGTTAAAAAACCGTCGTTACTGCTGTAGCTGCTGCCGTTGGACATCTTTGTCGTCGACGTGCCGGTTTATTACAACTAGAATAGTATATCTAAAACGTAATACGTGTTGTAAATATTTTTGAGTCACTTAATTAAGGTAGAAAAAATATAGATTAAATGTTACTAACTATTTTTTTGTTTTTTTCTTTTTCTTTTTTTTTTACTTCATTCTTATGCTTTATATTTTCCGTTGACTCATGTAACTTGGAGGTAGTTTATGTTGAAATTGTTCGAGCGCGAGAATAGCAGGATTTACGACGGCCCGGAGGTCTTACGATCCTTTTATATGAGTCGGACGCACGATTTCATTCAATAGCAACAAGAAGCAATAATGACTTTGAGGATTAAAGTTTGCTGGTGGCACGATTCATAGACTCGAACTTCCAGATTTTTCGGGTTAACGTTCATGCTGATTTCGTGATATTGGAAACAGTTTTGCAAGCGGCGTCTTTCATAGTTAGTTTTTTACAACATATATTTCGACCTCAAGAAATTTTTCGTGACACGAGTTGAGAAATACGATGTTTTATGAGGATTTAACAAAGTCGGCGGCACTATCTACCTTGGTTAATCGAAGGATTTATTGTTATAAGACTTACATAATTATCTTTATTATCTGAATAGATCGGAGTTAATTGTTACTTTTTTATGATCTAACGCTAATTACGATGTGTCGATAAGATAAGTATAATAGGTGACAGATGCAATCATAAGAGTTCAATTTAAATGGCAGTTGCTGACACATTTTATTTTTTTTTGTAGAAGGTAAGAAAAAAGTAAATATTAAATGCACATTCTTTATTTATTTATGATAACATATCTTTATATGCCGATAGTACTCTGATAAGATTATGTTTTTATATTTTATGTATTACTTTTATTGCGTTTAATAATATTTTTATTGTATATCTTAAGACGACTTAAGATAATATTTTTCCATTTTAGAATTGCACGCTTTACCTTGGACTTTAAAAGTATAACGTATTTATTTATCTTATTGATTTTCTAAGGATATTTCAATGAATGATAACGCTTATACTGGTTTCAAGTTTTGATGTAGAACATGCACTTTTCTTCAGGTGGCTCCTGAGACGACATAATCAATATACGTCAACATTGACAAATATTAATACCCATACATGACATACATAACAAAATTAGGTCAATGACATACATAATTATCCATATAACGTAGATTAATATTAAGTGAATGTGTGTAAAGTTGACGTACGTTGGTCGTGTCTGAATGTAGAACACGTACCGCCTTTATGTAGAACAAACATATATATATATATATTTTATGAATAATTTTATGTGATAATTTTTCATTTAATTAAGCTGCAATTAAACACTGATCCGTTATATTATCTCTGAATATTAATATGTTCTCTTAAAGCTATATTTTCTTCAATTCTATATTGGAAGCAAGTGTTTGTTCGCGCTTGTTTGCTAGATTTGACTTTAAACGTACCATTTAACTTCTGAATAATAGGATCCAAAACGAAACGAAAAGAATTATGAGAATAGCAAGAAAATTAAGGCCAGTACCAAGGATACTTTAAATGTAACTATACGACCACAATATGAAATTATCTCTGCCGGCTAGTGTTTTATGGATCATGTTTCTTTGTAAGAGTCTAGTCAATATTAATCAAAGAGTACGGGCAGTCATTCATAACAGTTGTCATCATCGCGCGATATAAGAACTCTTTCTTCACTTTAGAGAGACGCATCCAAATATCATCAATCTTATTTCAACAGTTCTGCATTTAACTATATACATCTCGGTTTCTCTTCTGCGAAAGGATTCGGTCAGATAAGAAACGAATATAAACGTATCGTGACGAAATATGCACAACAGCTTGTCGTGTCGTTCACGGGACCAAATGATATCGTTCGTAACGCTCACATTGCGTAATCGAACCTGCCGATAATACGAGCATAGATTACTGAGAATCGCATAGCAACAGAGTGGATTTAAATCTGTGATAATGTCTCTCTTTCGATTAATATATGAGAATTACAAAGTAGTAGAGAATTGCTGAATGCCTATTATTTAAGATATTTTTTATATATTTTTTATTTGTGTACTAATTTGTAAAAGGACTCAATATCAAAGTTTATAAATAAATATTGGAAATTGTAGCTTGATGTTTCAGGCATATCTATTAGTACATGTTTAAATTTAGAAATTAAAAATGCCTATTACGGTCGAAGCTGGATCTTCGTTGCTTAAATAATTCAATCTTGAATTACTAATATATATTATATATATACTTGCATATATACCATATTGTAGTCTGTTTTAAACTGCGCGCCGAATTCTTTTTCCGGACTAAATAAACGCAATTAAAACTACTCTAGTAATCGCGAATTAAATTGACAAGCAATTTAATAATTTGATGCTACCATCAAGCATCATATATTATAAAGATGTTAGTATGTTAAAACTGTTAATAAATTTATTGCGAAAAATATTACCTCGGATTCAAGTCCCGGCCAAGCTAATATTTTTCGCAATAAATTTATTAACAGTTTTAACATACTAACATCTTTATAATATATGATGCTTGATGGTAGCATCAAATTATTAAATTGCTTGTCAATTTAATTCGCGATTACTAGAGTAGTTTTAATTGCGTTTATTTAGTCCGGAAAAAGAATTCGGCGCGCAGTTAAAAAAGGACTACAATATGGTATATATGCAAGTATATATATAATATATATTAGTAATTCAAGATTGAATTATTTAAGCAACGAAGATCCAGCTTCGACCGTAATAGGCATTTTTAATTTCTAGTATTGATTGTGTTTCTCACATATACGGTCTAAAATAAAGATAATGTTTAAATTTTTACCAATAACAAATTATTTTGTTATAAGTTCTTTTGTAAAATACTGCAAAAGGTACGATTTAGGCAACCGGTCACCTAAATTGTAACCCTGAGTTTTTAAAATCGTTTTTTCTTTAAAAGTATTAAATTTATGAATAAAAATAATTAAAAATATAAAATTAATGAACGGAATTATTAATTGATTCCGTTTATTAATTCACGCGTTTATTTTTACTCGTTACTCGTTACAAATAACTTTTTTCAGTAAATAAACGTAATAGTAAAAAGTTTTTAAAACTTTTCCAATCTTAATACAATTTTAGTGTGCAATTAGTTATCATGATAGTCATAAAAAATTGCAGCGTCATTACCAAATCGTTTCTAAAAAAATAACGACTAAAATAACCTTTCACCCTTGTTAATTAATAATATAAAATATTCATGAAGGTGATTTCAGCGACTGATACATATTCAGCAATTCTTCGCTACATAACAGAAGAGGGAGGAGTCTATTGGGAAGACTTTATATATATATATAGGAGTTTATTGAATTAATAATTGATATTTATATAATTAATATTATTACTCTTATAAATGGGGAAGTCTCAATGATGTGAAAATAAATTTTTATATGTAACATAAGCTGGCTAATATTTTAATATAATTTTCTTTGTGATTTAAAGATTGAAGTAGAATTTCAATACTCACTTCTATTCTTTTTTTTTATATGTATGTAACTAAACTTAACTTAATCTTCGGCACACATGGTCATTTGTGTCCGATTCAATTTTAAGGCTCTTAAAGTACTTGAAAAATTCTATAAAAATATACACATGTTTTTTAAGGTTTCTACTAATTTTTACTAAATTATTCTGCTATGTAGACATTGGAAAAAAGTTCAGAAAAATTATGAAAATTTTTTTGCACCAGAAAATAAGAACTATTAGAAATGGCATGGATACGAATAACCCATGTGTTCTCCTTTATACGCGTATTATAATGCATCTCATGCAAAATGGCGTCGCACGGTGAAAGTTCGTGGTAAGCAGTAGATGGTTGGAGAACGGAAATGAGAAAATTTCCGGGTAACAATTTCCTCTTTGCTTCGTTCTCTTACGATGCAAGGCGAATAAAAAACGAAAGAAGATCCTTAATTCTTCAGTCGTCACGTGACGTGGTCACAAAGTATTATATTGATAGGAATATGACGGCAGGCATTGTACTATGTATAAAAAATTATATCGTTTCATGAAATTTGTATTCAGAAATTGTATATCTTTTACGCTCACAAAAATATTATATTATTTCATAATGTCCGTTTCATTTCGTTATACATAAAGCAGAAAAATTTTTTAAAAGAAATATTACGGTAAATATAACCTATCTGGCATATAGTTAATATAATAATACAGTGATATAATAATACAGTTGATATAATATATAATAATTTTGCATAGAGCACTAGTCTGTCAAGATGATGATGCCTCTCACAATCGGTCCTAGTCAAAAGTTTGGATTTTTGTTTTATAGATACAGTACTATGCATAGCTCATAAGTACCTAACAAAATTTTGATGAGAATCGTATAAAACATTTACTATGCATGTATAAAGAGTATAACAATAGATTGTCGCCTAAAGAAAATGTCTATCGGAGTAAACTTTGATACATAGAAATATACATATATATGGCCAATGTTATTTTAAACAGTATTATAGTTCAGTGGGCCAACGCACCTGCGCGCGAACTTTAAAAGGCACGTTGCACCCCTTCTCCATATCGACGGGCTCCTCGTCCTTTTCCCCGGAACCCTTCCTTGTCTCGGCTCCTCCCCCATCGCTCTCTATTCTTCCTCTCTCGCTCTCATCGTGTGCACACGCGCGCACAGCAGAATGTGGTTGGCCAGGTACACCTGGGCGCGTAAAAGGAGGGAACCAACACCAAGCGTTCCAGCGGCACGGCACTTGCATCGCGCCGTTGTCTATTCCGCTGGGTCGTACGTATCGGGTTCTCAGCGGTAGAGGGAGAAAAAGGGAGCTATCGACATTAGCTGGGAGTAGGACAGTATTGGTGTTCAAGAGTAGACGAGTGTCGAGGGCATGAAAGGGGCCATTTCCTTATTTTAAAAACGTTCCGGGAGTCTCTTTAGTAGGCGGAGTCACAACTACCAGATGCGCCACCATTGGTTGTCACAGTGTCTAATATATTATAACGTAACTGTCGGAGAACTGTTGTCCGCGATTCTATTGGCTTTAAGACTCCATTTATCTTTATATCCATTATTAACCCTCTCCACAGATTCCTTTAGTTTAGATAAAAATGCATGCATTTATTCAATACGTGCTGCTCACATAATATATTTCTCTCATGTTTGAATTTTTGTTGTATTTCAGACGGTCTATCGAGTTTAGTGATATATACATTGCAGGAGATGTACAAATCTTTCACAGTGTGGCGTAGTCCCGCCAAGATAGAGCGAATCTTGCGCATTCTCGTCAACTATGCTTGTGAAATAGACTCGAGGATCAATTTTAATGGTTTTTTGGAATCTACTAAACACTGGATTCTTCAAGGTAAGACATTTTTCAATATTTTTATTAAGGTAAAAAAATAAAATACTTTTAAAGAAAATATTATCAAATACATATTAATTTCCTATTTTCATTTTTAAATTAATGACTTAGAAATATATTAATTGCGATCCAAATTTTTAAAAAATGTATTTTATTATATATAGCAATGAATGATAAATATTATAACTTATAATGATGTTAAGTATAAAATATTTAAAATTAAAAAATTAAAGGGGAACATATTTTTATCTGTTACTTATACACGGTGTCTGATAATTGTTCTGATGGAGTCTGTGGACATGTAGAGCGTACTAAACTGAGACGGAAAGTCCTTAACCATTTTGCAATCTTCGCAATAGTTAACAAGATACTAATTGCTAAACATTGCCGAAAATGTCTTCAATAATGTTTTACTCAAATACTATCAACTTTACAGAAAAACTGCAAGAGAAAATTGTTTATTTTCTTCTCATAGAATTCTACAAATTTTTTCAGAATTTTTTATGAACTTTTTAGTACTGCATTTTCTCATTTTTATCAACATGAGAAAATACGTATTAAAAAATTCTGAAAAAATTCTAAAAAAAATTCTTAGAGCTCTATGAGAAGAAAATAAACAATTTTTGTCTCTTGCAGTTTTTCTGTAAAGTTGATAGTATTTGAGTAAAAAATTATTGAAGACCAATTTTCGGTAATTTTTAGCAATTAATATCTTGTTAACTATTGCGAAAATTGCAAAATGGTAAAAGATTTTCCGTCTCAGTTTAGTCTGCTCTATATGTCCACAAACTCCGTCAGAACAATTATCAGACATCCTGTATAATAAAAGGAAATAAGTATTATATGATAAATCCAATATTATAAAATATTAATTCGAATTTTTCTTTCTCATAGCCACAATAATTCATCATTCGAAAATTATTCGCCAGAATTTCGCGCAGAATGTAATTTTACTATCTATAATTATATATTTAATATATTATCTATTTTTATTTAAATATTATTTATTTCCACCTTGAATTATATATAATTATTAAATTTTTGAAACTTAACACGCTCCGTTAATTGTCAAAATTCGTAATTAAATTTAATTACTTCTTGACAATGCTCTTGAATTCCATGGAGTAGTAACGAGAATTGATTATGTTTAAACTAAAGTGTAAATTGTAATATGTAAATTTATGCATTTGAAAATTGATACAAACTTAATTGGAACCAGCAACAAGAAGATATTTTAAACATTTGCGCGGATATAAATCATCGAAATTGGCGTGTAAATATTAAAAGTCTAAGTACTTTAGAAATTATAATTTTACTGAAAATTAAAAGCTTTATTATTGTTATATTAAAAAAACTGCAACAATTTTTTTAAATCAAAAAATTATGTTTTATAATGTCTAATATTACATATATTGAGCTGTATATTTAACGTAAAACAGAAATATTTGCAGAAGAAATTATAATAATTTATTCTCCGTTTTTAAATATTTAAATTTTGGCTATGAACCGCACGTGTTTATTTCCTTCTCTCAAGAGCCTTACCAACTTTAATATGAACTCCGCGTGTACCTGACATTCATAAGAAAATAAGATAGAACGTTCTCGGAAGTTATCTTAGAACACATTTTGATGCAAGCTGATGCATGATAAATATTAATAAAGTCCTCGATAATTATTGCAAAATCAATATCCTTATCGCAACACGCGAAGACAACTTTGAAAAGGATATAAAAAAGATCAATGAAAAATCTTGGGTTTTTTCATCTTAGAAGAAACATTTACAATCTCATCATTGAAGATAATACCTTGTGGTATCATGAAAATCATGCAAATATGTGAGAACTTGTTTGATGTCGCAGTGGTACATTTAAAATACAATTCGCAAGCTCTACTTGCACATCCGACATTTTTAATTCCATTGTCGTCGGAACTTCTACTTCGTTGGAACGCTTTACAGAAAAGCTTCTTGTCCTCAATGCCAGTGGATAATACATGGATAATATTATTGATGATTTTCTACACCTGAAGATCTTTTTCTTGCATCGAAAGTCCTGTTTGGAACAGTGATATTGCTAGAAAATAATTGATGATTTTATATAACTTCACTGAGAAAAACGGTTTGGTTAAAAATCGATAAACCAGAATCATCTGGTTTGTTCATTTTCAACCAAATTTTTGTGTTCATAATCAAAATAAAAAATAACATTGCTTACAAGTAAGGATTATGTGCAGATATAAATAATAAATAAATAACTTAGAACCCATTTACTTTCCATTATTCACTTCATAAAGCGTTTTGCTAAAGGATTATCGGCAAATTAAAAATATTTAGTTTGTGAGATCTAAGTGAGGAGTTGCCAATAATACATTTTACACATATATACGACTATATTAGAAGCTGCCTGACGTACAAAACTAACATATTACTGTTGCCACTTAAAATACTCCGCAGTAAATATGCGAACTGTCGTGCCAAGCAGGAATCGTTACTGGATATTTCTACAGTTATAATGTATGTAGTCGTCATTACATACTCGTCTCAACTCTCTAACGATTGCTAAATTTTACTATTGGATAACAGCCAACGTAAACGAAAATGAACTTCGCCACTACGTCTGGTTTCAGTACATTCAAGGTCGATATTTTATTACCGCTTCTTAAAAAGATATACTACGCGTAAAAATGATATGTATAGTAAATGGTTGTCTGAAGGACATTAAAAACAAGAAAGTTGATCGGTGTTCGTTAAACCACTTTAATATTCTGATAAGAATTTTTAAGAGACTCAAGCTTGCAATGTAAAAAGATACAATTAATTGGATTATTAAAGTATGCGCTGCAGATCCTGTTTTATCCCGAAGAGAGTAAGAAGCGATCTAAGGCGTCAAAGAAAGGTACAATGCTTTTTGCTAACTATAACCGTGGATAATCAATACTCGGACAAACCTTCCTTCCTCCATCGTAAATTGCCTCGATTCCGGATCACTAACCATTCGCCCAGAACCGTTGCGAGATATTTAACGATCGACGAACGATTTGCGGCAGTGTTAAATTTATAACATCATTATTGCACCGTGTCGCATTTAACAGCAAAGTTGTTGACGATTAGTATCATTGCAGATCTCTCTCGCAATCAAGTACGTGATGCGCTATTTAATAAGCTCATGATACAACTTCGTATAAATATCACTTTGTATAACACATTTTTGCGTGAGGCTGAAGCCATTAGTTTCTATCTATATGTGTTCGTGTCATAATTATATCTTTTTAGTTGAATAAGTTTGCGTGTGTTAAAAATATAATTTTAAAAATTAATTTCATTTTATATTGTCTAAAAATTAAATTTAAATGTGTTTTTCATTGCATTTTGATGTCTCAAAATCATCAAGTTATTTCTCAATCACGGATTTTCTTATACGAATTTGTCCTGTTCATAAAGAAGATTTGAAATTGTTATCTGTAGCTTCAATAATTTTGTATAATTTTTAATTTTTTAATTTTAATAATTAAAGTTTTTATATACCATACCAGATATATTTAAATATTTCCGATTAGAATTATGTATTTAGCGTTAAATTCTTGAAAGTGGAACGCTTAAGTAATCAAAAGAAGAAAAAGGAACATGTGTAATGTGTTAGTAGTCAACTGACTGATATTTATTCTAACCTGACCATTATAAATCTCTTAAGCCGCTTAGTTTATTAAAAAAAATAGAGTACATAGTTCAAAATTATGATCTTAAAGTATACAATCTATAATCATATATAATACAATACTTGTTGCAAATGAGATTCATAATTGAATATGATTTTGAATATGAATTTTATTACACTATAGGATGCTTGTTATATTCTTATTATTTTTGTAATATTTATATATTTTTTTGTCATGTTTCGAATAATAATAGTGCTATATCTGTATAGTTATATCAGTATTACTTTTATTGATTATTGTTATCCATAATTTGTAATCAAATCATCTAATTCATTTTTTACAGACTCTCTAATTAGTCGTTGCTTAATAAATATTTTGTTGTCATTATATTGTTAATCCTGATCGCTATCGTTTTGGAATAAACATCACAAAGAGTACAATCTCGATCTTATTTGCTCGATTGAATAGCTACAATACATTCAAGTCCACGCAAAAAACGACATTCCAACGACGGTGGTATGAACAAGAAGACGATTAATGGCTTCACATTTTACTGAGCACATGGTTACACACTTACTAACAAACACATGAAATCATAGAAGGATGCAAAGCTAATGTGAGCCAAACACATAAAATATATGAATTCATACAAATATCAAATATGTGACAAAATTAACGTATAGAAATAATAATATATTAGAATATAAAGTGCTTGAGTCGTCAGTTGAAACATGAAAAAGCTATCGCTTATAATGATCAAGGTATATATTTTAATTTAACTTAATGTATAATTCTGAAAAAAAACGTCTCAAACGTAATTTAATTATACGAAAAATACATTTAACAAGGTATCTTATTTGATACGACCGTACTGTCTTTTTAGAAAAAAATATGTGTCTTTTGTTGACTAATTTGATGTATAACCACCACGCGTGTCTGACAAGTCTAAATGCATTGGAATGACACTCACTTAAATAGCGGATGTCCACACCTCTGCGCACGTGTCAGAGATTAATGAGGTTCTTCGTGGAGAAGTAAGAATGCTTTGCCATAAGAACAGTAATTGCGGCAGAGGTAGCGGTTTAGTGTAAATAATGAATCAGCAATACTAATGTGCGTATGGTGTACGTTAACTGCCTCCCACATATCGATATAGCTGCTCCAGTTACCACGAATGTAAAATAAGCACATTACAACGATGCCACTTAATTGAATTATTGCGTTTGAGATAATTTTTTATGCTGTGTTAAAGAGTACTATTATAATATATTAATATAAACTTAATTTCTTTCTACAATTAAATTAAAAATAAAATACTTGATTATTTGCGAGAAATAATTAAGATT